AATATTTTGTCAGTGTTTCTAGTTATTTTTCTAGAAAGGTGGATATGTAGCAACATCTAGAACAGTGTACTCCATAACAAGGTCTCAGTAAGCAGTTAATACTACAGCCATTTTCCCTACTGCCTGTTCTATTGTTGTTCATAAAGTTGTGAAATGATATAATTTAGTGGTTCAAGTGACTGTTAAAGGTATCCATCCAAGACTCAAGCAGTCCTTCTTAAACTGAGAAACCTAAGAAGGAGAAATGTTTAACAGCCTCCGGATGACAGCAACATAGGCTCGCTTTCTTTGTAGGAAACTACTGGCCTGCCATGGGGATGTGCACTATTGTCAATAGCTCTAACTGGTAGATTTGAAAGTCTTATATAATCCCTAAACTCCTTAAAGGGAATTTTTCATGCCTTGGAAATCTGCAAAATGTTCTCTGTTCTTAATCCTGTATTAAGGAGAATCTTGTATATTAAAGAATGCTTGTATTGCTGACCATTCACAGAACCCAATGAGTCTAGATAGTAAGGCACAGTGCATCTGAAGTTACATTTTAGACTTTGGTGCCATGGGTTACTTAAAAAGCTTGTTGCTGTATCTCTGATATGTCTGAGGAACAAATTACAGCATATTAAGTTCAACAATGTGTACCATTACCAACTCACTTTCAAAGTTATGATTAAAATACCTGCTTTTTTCACTTTGAAAACTTTTTGACATGTTTCAAAAAGGAATAGAGTATTAAAGGGCACTTGTAACTGATATTTATTGAATTTTAATCTCCCTTTTCTTATACCTATAAAGCAAAGTGTTTATATATGTTAGTAAGTGTTACATTGATAAAGAACAAAAAGCGGGTGTTTTTAGCAAGTATATGCCATGGCACTGAAAATGTGAACTGTTGCCTGCAACGGATGGCAAGGTTTGGAGGCTATTGGTCTGTTCCTGTCAGAGCAACTCCACTTATTGGTTCATTGTGGAAGGGCTGTCTCCTGGTATTTCAGTTACAGAAATTGAACATACTCATACTGGGGCGTAAACCTTCAGACAGTGTGTGGGTGGGTGTGGAAGAATCTTTGCAGAAGGATTAAGTAGGATATTCCATGACGGAGTGTTCTTGGGGAGGCCTCCTGTGCAGTGCAGCAGAGATCTGGGAATCAGCTAGGAATGTGATGCCTAATACGATCTACCAGTCTTGTCCATGCTCCTGCCTGCTGCCATATTATTTATTTCTAGAAAGACTTTTGAATAGAACAAAATGGGAAACTTGAGAACCTTTAGCTTATTCTATGCTGATTGGATCTTTTATGAAGTTGAATTCCTTTAATAATGATAGCACATTAGTTACTTGGGTGTCTGGCTGCATCAGAAGTGCCGCTCACTGCGTTAGCGACAGCGTGATGCGATGCAAGTCCACAAGCATCGTGAGAACTCAGAGGAGGCTTGCTTCGGACTTGCCCTGTTGGCAGGTCTTTATCAGAAACACAGACTTTGAGATCACAGGGATTAAAATAATACACGTAACAGACTTGGAACGATGTTAGCAGTAAGTCTTTATCCTTTCTTTTTCGTGCTGTGGGGTTCCTCTGGCATTTGCTCAATTTAATAACCAAGCTAATCTGATCCATCCTCTTGGCCCGTGTGGGCCACTCTGGTGGTCCTTTCCCCTTCACATCCTCTGTTGTTTTGTAGAAGGTCAAGTGGCAGCTTAATTGCATTAAGGTTTATGTAACATCTAAGAGATAATGGCGGTCCTGGAAACTCAGATGAGAATGTTGGGTCCGTTCCTGGTTTGCCTAAGGAGAAACCTCCCATAACCGAGTTCTCCAGTCTTACTGAAGAGTACCACATCGGATGTTCTATGTAGATCACCAAGGGGTGGAGTTCTTACTGTCTCCTACCCTGCTTACCAGAGCATAGACTGTTAGCCACTGTCAGATGCTATTGGTAAAACACACACGTTCACCCTTGCCCTTTCTTCTTTTCCCTCTTTCTCTGCTCACCTTCCCCCCTTTTTTCCCTTCCCTTCCCTCCCCTCCCTGCAACCCTTCTCCTCTTACCTTCCTTCTTCTCATTTGTTTCTTTGATAATGTCTCAGTATATAGCTCAGGCTGGCCTGGAACTTGCCATCCTCCTGGGTCAGTCCGTGTGCAGGGATAGCACACCCAAGCTTTGGTGGAGTTTGCTGTTGTCATCTTGACTCCCCTACCTTTATGATATTGTTGTGGAGATTTTACAGTTTCGTACGCTATCTTCTTTTCTTTGTTCTGGATTTATGTAACACTCATGGTCATGGCCTCAAGTTTGCACCTCAGAAAAGCAACAGTTTATCACATTATTAGTTCAGTTTCTGACACCAGGGAATACATAGCCTGATTCCCCCGTTCCATTTTCAGAGTGATAGATTTCCTGAGTTGTTTTCTTCTCACAGGCTAATCTTCACACAATGGCAGAGTCAGGTCTATTACTGTTCAGCTGCTAGAACTTTCCTTTCTTGTACCTTCGGGATAATGAGTGTGAACTGTGGTGTGAAGGTCTCTTATGGGACAAGGAGCTGTTTATGTAACTGTCAGTCTCTCTTTGCATGATGGTACCTGGCAGTGTAGAGATTTGCCTTGTATTCATTTTATGTACTTTGGGGGTGGTGTTAGCCCCCAAAGTTTAGAGCTTTTGTGCATTTAAAGCTGAGCGTGTGATCTCATCCTTCTCTGATCCCGATTTTATTCTTCTTCAGCATGATATCCTAGTTGCAGAGCTTCTGGATTAGCAGGATTCTGTATTTTTCTAGTTACTAAGGGTATTTGCTCCTACCTAATCTGCCCACTTCTGCTCTTAGCTGTTTGAGCATCCTATTCCAGGACTTCCTATCTGTGATCTTTTTTATCTGTCTTTATCCAGATGTCTCTAATCCATTTGGTAAAATCATTAGTGATACAGGCGTGCCAACTGTGTATCCGGTTTATGATGAGGTATAAGGGATACCACTTGTGCGAGCTGGAGTCAATTCTGTATGATGTGCTCAGAAGCTACAGTGGAGACATAGAGTGGGAATGTTTTATCCAGAGCAGAGGGGCTGCAAGGGGACAGAAAGCAAGTCAGGGAAGGCAGCAGGGAATGGGTACAGAGTTGAAAAGCAGCATGCCTCTGACGATGGTCTGGCAAGATTCCTTAGAGACAGGAATCGTAGTGACGGAGCACCTGGCTGAAACTCGAGTTCAGTTCCTTGGGTTCCCAGGGCGTGTTCTTGGATGTTCAAACACTATGCCATCAGGCTGAGGAAGCAGCTTCTATATCAGCATGCCTACACACGGTGATCCTTGTCTCTAGTTCCTGTACAGGTTAGGGAAGAGTGTCAGCTTTGTAATCAAGCAATCTTGGTTCGTGCCCTGGGTCTTACACTTATCACTGTGATGGGGATAATGGTAGTGCATATTTTCTGCTGTTCCTATCAGTTTGAAAGCATTGACATGGTTAAACAGCCAAATCCACGGTCCTATAGCTTCTAAACAATAGCCAGCATCTTGGGCAATGCCAAATTTTTCTTAACAAGAGATTTATTTCTTAATTTTAGTATACGCTTCTATATCCATGTGTCTCTTGATGCATTTTAATTCACCTACTCATCTTCCTTCTGAATGGAAGAACTAGGAATGTCATAGAAATCATGTGCCTTGGTTAAGTGGACAAAGAGGATTAGAAGTTAGGGTGATGTTAGTGTCCAACCTTTTCCATCTTCTATGTAGGAAAAATTAAGAGGAGGCAAATTCTGGAAAGATGTTTGTTTTCTGGGGTCTTTAGCCAGAATTTTCATCTATTCTGTCTCAGAATAGACACTCACATCTGTCTACTTGTACTCTGGAAATAGTGAGCCAAGGCCTTCTCTTTCCCATGCATATTTACCACCTAGAAAGATGTTTGAGGTGAGCTAATTGTACTGTCATTGCTACATGTTGTGTCAGAAGACAAGTGTGCTTGGATTTCGTAGCCCTGGTTAGTGGGAGCATTCCAGAAATGCCAGCTCCCAGCCCTCCAGGAGCTGCTAATCGTTTCCACTTGACTATTTCAGAGTGGTTCCAGCTTCGTTCTTTTAACTCACGTTGGATTTCCTTGGCACAGCCTTTTGTTACTAGTTGGATTTATGAGCAGGATATAGTTGGTGCATAAATTTAAAATCCGTTTGTTTTGTTTTTGTTTTGGGAGATTGATTGCTTAAATACTAGGTCAATGAGAGTGACTTTGGCAAGCAAATTATTTGAAATTAACTTCCCTGCAAGCGGAGCTTTGGGATAACGTGTGAATTATTCTTCAGTTACGAGAATAGAAGCATTCGCTTGATGTAAACGCCAAAGCGAAGTCCTCTAGTCATTTTGTAAATATTTGTCACACCCAAACTATTGCTCTGCTAGGCAAGGTCAGCCCTGCAATTAGTGAAGGTGCGTATGTGTCTTCAGGCAATAACCAGTCTCCACAGCCATTTGTACAAAGGCAGCCTGATCACCATTTGCTGGTAGTTGGACACGACTGTCTTGTTTTCATTGTCTCAGGTCATCTTATCTTTTCATTCCTTAAAGCACGTTAGTGGTGGACCCTTGCTCATGCCATTTCTATAGAATCAAATAAGAATAAATAGTAATATAAAGTTCTTATCTTTTATAATATTATAAATTTCTTTGCTCTCTTATACATCATTTTAGTCTAGAGAGATTGATACTGTAAGACTGTAATCACCTTATCTTCCATATTCTCTGTCATAGTTCATAGATGATAGAACTCTGTGGCTGAGGAAGTACCTTGATTGACACCATGATGTTTTAGAAATTCTCTGATTTACTTCCTAATGAATTGATAATGAAATGATGATTGATATACTAATATTGCACATTTTGCTTAATAAGTAGTAGGAAGTCCAGAGGTGGTTGCCCATTCTCACTGATGTATTTGTCAGACTGTATTATGAAGTGGCATTTATCTGAATTTGGCTTCTAACTCTCATCTCCCCTCTGTCTTTCCAGTTGTTTTTATTTCAGTTGCTGCGAGGACTGTCGTACATCCACCAGCGGTATATCCTGCACAGAGACCTGAAACCACAAAACCTTCTCATCAGTGACACGGGGGAGCTGAAGCTGGCAGACTTCGGTAGGAAGGCAGCTAATTGCCAGTTTATTTGTCTCACTGTGCGAATGCCAGGCAGATGGTGGCACTGTCTTTGTTTAGGCACCGTTCTCTGTCATCACTGATCCTGGTAATCCTTTTTCTGGAACAAAGAAATGATTTCCATCTTTTGAAAAATGATAAAGTAAAATATAATGGTTGGTGGATTTTTATAAAGTAGAAGACTGTTTACTGTTCTTCCTTATATAATCACAAGATCTTCACACATGACAGCAAACAAAATCTCAGGAAAATTCTGAACATAAAATATCCTCGAGGAGATCTCGTTTCTTTTCCTAGTTTTTACTATGAAAATAATCTGAAGTCAGATAACGGGGTGGCTTACCACACAACTTCAAAAAATCAAAGCATTTTATTAAGTGTGAGGAGATGGGAAGTGAAATCCCTGTACCAGTTTTGTCATCCTGGGCGGACAGCACTCCAAAGTATATGTTCCTCTAAGGACACAATAATGTAGGGTCTAGTGTAATTGTACCAGGAGTGACTGTTATTTTGGGCAGTCCTCATAGCACTGTGGATGAGAACACTTATCACAATTCTCGGTTCTGGAGCAGGCCTTTTAGAAGATGTTCTTAGAAATCTGAAGCCTGGCCTTTCACATCTTTGCAAAGCCAAAGGAAGCCAATCTGGTGCCTCTCCGTTCTGCCGCTGTGCTGTGGCTCACTGGGGTCCCCGCAGTGGGAATGACACTTGATGGCAGTGTGCTGTGTTGACGCTACACTGCCTCAATCATTTCTGAATACATATTCAGATTAGAAATTTGTTCCATTAAGAATGGAATGAAAATATTACCCTTGGGATATAAAGATGCCTGAGGTTGAGACAACCTTTGGAGGAAAATAATTATTTTCCCTATTCCAACCCTGAATAAATAGAAGAGGGAAGAGAGTGGCTGTGTATTTCAAGGTCAGGTAGTTGAACACTCCCAGACACATCTACACTACTGGGTTTTTTTTTTTTTTATGACATGTAGTCTCTATTTTCTTTTTTTTTTAAATTTATTTATTTATTAAAGATTTCTGTCTCTTCCCCGCCACCGCCTCCCATTTCCCTCTCCCTCCCCCAGTTAGGTCCCCCCCCCCATCAGCCCGAAGAGCAATCAGGGTTCCCTGCCCTGTGGGAAGTCCAAGGAACCCCCACCTCCATCCAGGTCTAGTAAGTTGAGCATCCAAACTGCCTAGGCTCCCACAAAGCCAGTACGTGCAGTAGGATCAGAAACCCATTGCCATGTTCTTGAGTTCTCAGTAGTCCTCATTGTCCACTATATTCAGAGTCCGGTTTTATCCCAGGCTTTTTCAACCCCAGGCCAGCTGGCCTTGGTGAGTTCCCAATAGAACATCCTCATTGTCTCAGTGTGTGGGTGCACCCCTCGCGGTCCTGAGTTCCTTGCTCGTGCTCCCTCTCCTTCTGCTCCTGATTTGGACCTTGAGATTTCAGTCCGGTGCTCCAATGTGGGTCTCTGTCTCTGTCTCCTTTCATCGCCTGATGAAGTTTAATATTCAGGAGGATGCCTATATGTTTGTCTTTGGATTCACCTTCTTATTTAGCTTCTCTAGGATACTCTGGTTTCTCTTCAGATCGTATAAATCTTTCGCCTTTTACACTACTGGGTTTTATGTGTGCCTTTCTTCCAGAGAGAAAAGGAAGCAAAGTTAGCACCATTAGGTATGTGTGTTATGAAACACCTTTCTTCATCAGTTACTTTAATATAAACAGTGAAGCTTTGTATGGTTTCATGCATGTGTTGTTTATTGCCAGATTTGGCATCAGGATTATATGAGGTAGCTACATATAAAGTCTGTTCCAATACAGAAACCAGTAATGGCGGGGGGAGCAAGTGGTAGAGAGAAATTCTGTAGTTCCTCAGGTTCAAGGAGCTAGCTTTGTGGCAGTCATGTTGTAGTTTGTTGTTGTCAACTTTAAAAGAATTTCCATTTTAACAGTGATTTTTTTAAAAATCATAGTTTGCCAGGATAAGATATCTGTTGAAGTATATTGTTGCATTGAACATTTAACTGAATTGAGCCTGCTCCTTATATTTTGTGTTGAATATCTCAATAAATGTGCATTATACAGATTTGTCTGCATAACTAAAGATACAGTAGAATTGTCTAAATGTGATTTATAATTAGTTTTACATTTTAAGATGTTATTATTTTAGCAAGGTTTGTTCATCTTCAAAGACTCCCTTAAGTCTTCTGGTTGTCCAATATCAGTCAGTCAGTCAATCATTCAGTCTTGAAAATATTCATATGACTAAGGTTATATAGGTTATATTTTGGAATAATGTTTCCAAACAAAACATTAGCATTTTATATCAGATTCAGTAACAAATTGAGATGGAAGTCTTAAAACCTGCAGTGATTTTTTTTAAATGTAGAAAATTTAGGAAAGTAAATAACTCAGAAATTATATTTTAACATTTTTATATAGTTTCTTTTTGTCTTTATTGTACTCTGTTTCACTTACCCATTACATATCCTCAAAATAAATGCGTACTCTTGTCTAAGTATTTATCTAATATGTCTTTAATGTGTATTTATGGTAAGAAGTATGGCAAAGATCATTTGTATCAGCTGGGATTTTTCTGTTATTGGCTAAAGTGTCATTTCTGTTCATACACACTTCTGTGTGTGTGTGTATTTCACTCTTTGTGGTGAAAGAATGATGTACTAGCAGTGCAGTGATGAGAGTTTTAATGGAATCAGTTCTTTGGTCCACACTGATCTGCAGAGCATGGCCCATGAACTTTCAGTGACATTTCAGTTGGCGTGGGGCCTGTGCATGGAGGATTAGGAGCAAGACTTGTTCACCAATTGACAATTTCCCCCCAATTAATTGTGCGTTATTTTGTACATTAATTTAAGACACGTGATTAACTGTGATTTACTGTGTTGGGGTACAAGTGTGTGTGAGCTGAAGGAAATGCATGGGAAAGTACAATGAAGCTAAATAGTTAAATCAGGACAGCTCCAGGCAGCAGAACAATTAGACACAGGTCTTCATCCAGAGCCCGACTCTTGAAGAGCTTTGTAAATTCTTTCTTTGTCTTACCTTTATCTTTCTTGCGAACAAAGGCCATAAACATCCGGATAAAAGAGGCAAATATGTTCTGAATGACTGTATCCCCAGTGCTGTAAATGCTGCTTCCTTATTAGAAAAAATATGCTGGAGGATAAGAGCACTAACATTTATCAGGCTTATCCTGTGTTCTGTATGTGCATAAGTCGCTTCTTGTTTCCTCGCTAAATAGACTTATGGCAGGCAGTCCACCTTTTGAGAGAAGTGTGACATTTGGAGTGAGGTAGACCTTAGGAGCCTTGGCCATACAGGTGTCTGGTCACAAAGCTGGGACAGTAGGGACCTTATCCATAAATTTTAATCTCAGGTGGCCCTGTGTCTTTATACTTATAGACACACACATTTTCCTTAGAGTAAATTGCTACTTAATTTTTAATAAATTCTTTAACTCTTTAGTAAAGCCGTGATCATTATTTGAATGCTACATATGGATGTTTGTAGATCTATTCTATATTACAATAAATATGATATAATTGCTATGTCTATTGATCACACTAATAAAATATATCTCAGAATTTACATAACATTCTTTTTTCATTTGACTAATTTAGCAGTAATGTGTACATTGGACTTTAATACTAGGGTGATTTTTGTCCTTGGGTAAGGTATACCAGATGTTGCTGTACTTGTAGATCCTTTACCTCGGAACAGAATATAATTTAACTGTTTTCCGGAAGCTGAGTCTTGCTTACCACTCACCTGAACATCATTTTCTCCGTGCATTTAGAATGAATGAATTGAGCTGGCTTAGCACCTCAACATTCCTGTTGCAGGGGTTTCTCTGTTGTTGTGTGGTAAAATCGCCTGCTCCATTGGGCTCACTTCTATTTGTCTTCACTTTATCTCTAGGGAAAATTGTTCAAACCTGTCATGCAGCACCAAGGTAATGAGGACATAGGCTGTCCTCGCACCACAACCTTTTACTGGCCTTTATTGTCTCCTGGGATGCTCATCTTTCTGCTTCCAATGTGGGTGTCCTTTTTATTATTATTATTATTATTATTATTATTATTATTATTATTATCTATAGAGGGACAGTTCATGTGGCCCTGCCCAGAATAGGGCCATTCTCCCTGTTCTCATCAGCTTAGCCACTTCACTCACATTTCCAGTGCATTGAAGGTATTCTAGTCACTTGCTTTTTTATTTTTATTTTTTTCTCATCTTGCTCACTGTTATTTGCACTATGTGCACAGCCCTACAGTAGATACTAAACACAAACTTAGCAATAAATATTGCTTGAATGGATAAAATACATAACAAAATGAATAATCATCTAAAGATAAAGACTCACTTGAATCTACTAATTTCTGTTTCTTCTTTGGAAAACTAACTAATTCTAAATAACTAGTCTCTTTATTAGAGTTGTTCTAGCTCTTGATAGTACCGGTGTGACTGCTGGGTTGGGATAGTGTGGAGTCTTAGGTTTCCTATGAGTCTCTCACACAGCTCTTGGTATTCACAAGGGGTGTAACTTCAGGTTGCAGAAGAAAAACATCACTGAGAAGATGTCACTGTAGACCCTTGCTAATCACTGAGGTGAGCTGTTATCAATTGCAGAGTATATCAGACATTGAATTAAGAGATCATTGCTGAATATAACTCACTTTTGGTCTTTCAAGAAGTCATTTATTTGTTCTGAGCTTATGCTTGGTGTGTGAAATGAAAGACAATGATCTTTTTAGTGTTGATGATTTGTGTTGAACATTTTTGACCATGTTAACCTATTTTTCTAGTGACAAGGGGCTTACTAGTAATTGAAAATCTGTCCACTAAGTCTAAATCAGTATCCCGCCATTCCTCCCAGGAATCTAAGTTTTGATTCTTCTTTTTTTGAGATTAATATAATCTCATCATTTCTTCTTTCCCTTCCTTCCCCTAAC